CCTCCCTCATCACTCCTAACAACTCTGCCTGCCTGCCTGTTCGCCCCTAACCGCCTCTGCTTTGGCCCAGCTGCCGTGGCTTCATCTGGAAGGTTGTTCAGCTGTCCAGTCTAATTAGCATATTATGCTTTTATTATTATAGATTGTACTTTGACCTTAGTGCAAAGTACCCCTGGTGATTTACTCAAAGGCCATGGATTTGGGTTAGGTGTACATTCCATATATAACAGTCATGGTAAGGGTTTACTCTACCTCCATTCTTCACAGTATCTTGGAATGTGGCACATTTCTCTTAAGGAATTTATCCCTACCTGCAATGGTTCTGAAAGTGTGGTCTCTGGACCAAAAGCATAAACATCACCCGGGAAATTGTTAGACATGGGACACTGGAGACCTGAATAAGAAACTGGTCTCCAGTTTCTGTTTGAATCACTGCTCTAACTTAAACAGCCTGTGACAATTCCAGGCCAGGTGAATCTCAGGTATCAATCCTCATGTCCTTCTTCATCAGAGTACCCTGCCTTTGACCATCTGGTGTCTATTCTACCATTTAAACCTTCTGAAAATAAAAGTATTTAATTTTACTAAAAAATAAATGTATTACAGAAAAATCTGGGCATTATACGTCAGATTTGACACATAAGCACTCTTTTAGCTAAAAAAAAAAAAAAAAGTCAAGGGGTCTAATCTGTAAATTGCTCCAAATCCAATGTTTCAATTTTGAGAAGGAAGATCTAGTCATTGAACTTGTGTAAGGAGATGGCCTAAGGCCTGCTAAGTCAGGTTGCAGTTTTCACTGTATTCAAGACAACCAGAAAGATAAATACAACTTATAGAAGAAGTTTCAAGTTTTTTCTCATTCATCTCTCAATGGGTCTCACACTTCTGGAATTTGTTACACCCATGTTGTCCAATATGGTAGCCACTAGCCATATGCAAAATACTAGAGGCCTGGTGCACAAAATTGGTGCACTCAGGGGGAAGGAAGTGGTCTCTCAGCCCAGCCTGTGTCCTTTCGCATCTGGGAGGCCTCAGGGGATGTCTGACTGATGGCCAGCAGTCGGACATCCTCAGTGCTGCCGTGGAGTGCACTGACCACCAGGGGGCAGTTCCTGCATTGAGCATCTGCTCCCTGGTGGTCAGTGCATGTCATAGTGATCGGTTCTTCTGCCATTCAGTTGATTTGCATATTAGCTTTTATTATATAGGATATTCACAATCATGATCAGTTTCTCTTCAATTTCATTCTTCCCAACTATCCCCCCAAATAATGGTGGGGTTAGAGTTAGTTTTTGGCTATTGAATGCATGGTAACCATGACCTCAGTATTATTTTCTATGTGACAGATTCAGATTTTATCTATAAGAACTGGTACAAATAAGTTTGAAGAGACAGCATGTTAAGACAACCAACATTTTATAAATGTTATTACAGTACATTATAAACAAATACTTATGTATAAAAATATAATCAAGAGCATCAATTTGGTTTACTAGTAAAAGCAACTGTTACCTTAGCACCCATTAGGAAATTGAACAATGGAATGCATTCACTGATATATTTATTACAACTATATGTCTATACACTAATGTAACCAAACATAATATAGTAGACAATTAATATATTGGTGTTGGGGGCAAGGTGGCCCTCATAAACTGGTGTTATAATCAGTGAGATAGTTTATCATTGGACTCACAGTGAACATGATTTGATTTGTAGTAATTGCATCTGAGACCACATATTAAGTTGCTTGATAAAGGGGTTTTATTATTTTTCAAAATAACCCTTCATTTTAACAAAAATGTCTAATACAGAAAATCAGATAATTTAAAACAAAAGGTTTTTTACACACTACTCTGATGATCAATAATTTTAAGCCCAAGGTCCTCTTGGGGAAATTTCTGGTTTGCAAAAGCTGTGGGAGACCATTAACTTCATGAGCTCAGTTACAGGAAATACTGATCTCTAAAATATCATGGTCTCACATGCTATGGGGCCTTTATGGATCTAATTTAATTGAGCATGTGCAGGCCCAATTATAGGACAAATCAGCTCCAAGTATTTCACACATTTATAAGGACAGGAGCTATTGTATTCACCACTGGATAAAACTTCTGGGTAGCCACTTAAATTAGACAAATGGTATGGTACTCCAAGGTGAATGGTGAGGTTAAGGCTTCCACACCAAAACCAGTTGGAATATGGTACAAGCATGAACATGGGGAAAAATTTCAAAATTTGAACAGGTAAACAAAACTAGGAAAGACTCAACTCAGGTTAAAGGAAACTGCCTGATTGCCAAAAGTTTTTCAAAGGAGACTTCCACAGAACTCATTTGCCCAGCAAGAGTAAATAAATTTCAATTGATATAGTTTTATCTGAGACACAGCTGAGATACAAGTCACCAGTGCTGTAGTCACCACTCCAATTTCAGTATTTGCATAGAGATGTACAGAGAGTTACATTGAAATTGTGTATGCTAAGGAATGCCATTAGATTAGCTCCCAGGAAAATTACTATGTAATTGTCAATTTTTCTCTCAAGGATGGATGTCAACTTCAACTTTTACATTGGCTGGGAACATTTCCTTTGTTGTTTGTGTATTTTGAGAAAGCAAAATCATTGGCACTTGCAGAGGCTTAGAACATAAACCAACATTAGAAGTAATGAAAACATAGCTAAAAGTTTTACTTTAATCACAAATTAAGAACTAGAGATTCACTTACATATCTTAGAAAGCTAAAAGACATGTTAAAATTTTAACCAGTCAGCAAAACTATGTGCCACAGATTTTAATGTTCATAATTTAGAATTTATTACATATATTTATAAATATATGCTTGATTTGCAAAATTATTCTTAAAACACTTCTTTCCAACATGTTTGACATTTTCATATGTTTTAAGGAAAAAACTCATCCTATTTAAATTTTAATGTGTGATTAAACCAGTGTCACCAAACTGAAAAAGAGAAATAAAAAGAAACATACTGCTGTACTGGATATGTTGTTGTTACTACAAATAATGACAACACATGTCCTATACAGTGATCACATGCATTCTCTTATTTTATTTTTCAGTCATTGTCAGAAACATTTGGAGGTAAGAAAACCAACGCATCATTGAAAATATGCCCAAATGCCCTAAGACGGTATACTCCATACATCATCACATGCATCTGATTAGGAGTCAGCCCATTAAAAGTAACAGCCATATCTGAACAACAACCTTCTACTACCTGGTTAGGTTGATTAGCCATTGCCTCTTTAATAAAAAGCCCAACAGATTTGGTATTAAATATATCTTTTCCTTCAGAATCTTCTGCATTTTCTGCAAACACTCCCGCATATTTCAGGCAGACTGCTAGCTGCTTATCTTCAGATATCTTCCAAATCATCCCTCCCTGTTCAGGACACTTTTCAGGGAACTTGAAAAGTCTGTTAAGTTTTTTCATTGATTCGATACTTAAGACAATTCCTCCTTCTATAGTCACATAATCAAGTTCTCCAGATTTTAGAGTGTGGCCTAGATAGAAAGGATGTGATGGATCCTTTTTTAACAAAAAATACTTTAAATTTTCAATAATAGCAAATGTTGAGGGGCGTGCAAGGAAGAACCAGTTGTAATGGTCTCTATATTTGTCAAAGGCGTATTTGTAAGCTTTTCTCATCATTAACCACATGTCATTAGTTTCCATGTTAATTGACTCAAACACTTTAACCTTTTCAGAACTGAAGAACTCTGCTTTGTCACAGTGTTTGGTCCAGGTCTCCTTCACTGCAGCCCAAAGACTCACATCTTTAGGTTTTACAAGGATGATACAGTATACCCGAAAGCTCTTACTGAGCTCCATGCGTTCTTTCTCTGAAATTTTCAAGATATCTTCTTTTTTAGGAGCTTGTATGTGATGATGCTCATGGTGGTCCATTTTATTTCCATAACCAATCTTAATATGTCCTAGCATAGTGATTAAGGCACAGAAAATGCTTCCCAGCATCATACCCTTCAAAAATGAACTGCTTTCAGAAAGCATTTTTCCTATAAAGAAGAAAAAAATTCTTAGGATACTTAACAGAAAAATATTAGTCTACTTACTTGATTTGGTATTCTTTATACAAATACCTTTTGTTCTTAACATTAAAAGAAGGTTCCCAAGTTTGAAATGTTAGTTGCATATAGTACCAAGGAGTCTATAAATCACGAGCTTCCAATTTATACTGTTCAGTATAAACTGGAACTTTGCAGCAACACCTCTATGCAGTAGAATTTTCCTGGGAGGTTGTTTTTGTACTTCATCTATGGCGATTTAATTACCCAAGTACTAAATCAAAGCATTAACCTGAGAAACCAATGGTTCATAGCTTACCTTTTTATAATCCCCTTTAAAGGAATTTAGTTTCACAAGCTTGCATTATATTATTTAAATACTTCTGCAGATATAAATAAATAGACTTTTATATCAAAACTTTCAATTGAACAGATAATACCACCAACAATGGACAAATCACCAATGGTATCTCTGCTGGCATTTTTTGTTCTCAACCTGGTGCTTTATTTAACTGATGGCTGCTGTCCATAGGTGTTTTGAGTATAATTAAAACAAGTTTCTTGAGACTGACACCATATATGTTAATATTTACCCTTTTGTTCCTAAGACTAAATGGTTTCCAATAAGTATCCCAACTAGCTTATGCAATAAAAGCCCATAATGAAAATAAATTATTTGCGTAAGAACTGAGTCAATATAGGCATATCTAGGAACCATTAATGACCATTTTTATTTCCTCCCAAGGCATTTTCTTATTTTGGGGGGGCAGTAAAAGGGGTGAGGTCTACATTTTTATTTCAATTAGAAATGAAAAGAAAAGCCAACATTATATACAACTATTAAGATTTTCCCCAATTTCCCCTCTATCTCCACAAGTAATGGTTCTATTTAGCTACTGAGATTTTTCCCTTTGACTCTTAAAGTTGAAAGGGGTCTTCGAAGCTGCTTAATGTCATTTCTCATTTTACAGATAGGGAAACAGAGGGTCAAATGGGTGTAAGTAACTGACCCAAAGTCACATAATTAGTCAATGGTAGGACTGAAGTAGAAATTAGATCTCTTGACATCAGTCTAATGTTTTTTTCTATTAGAGAATAATGATCTCAGCAATGCTTCTACCCATATTATCGATAACTTAATAAACAAGTTACAAAATAACCTTGTTTTCCTACAAATGAAAAAAATGTGGGATTTGTTAGCCACAATTGACATTTTGCACACATTACTATATTGCTACAAGCAAACCATCCCTTGATTTTCTTCCAGAGGAAATGGACTTTGACTTCTACTAGAAGGACAGGTGTGGGATAGCTTGGCAGATGTAATTCCTTAGTGGGGGTGGGAGGTGGGGAAAGAGGAAGGACGATTTCTTGGGTCACCCATGGAACTTATTAAATAAACACAGCTCTAAGGAGGAAAATAGAATTGACAGAAAACAAGTTCTACCTAATATTACAATTGTTAGATGCACTCTATAATTCAGGTAAGATTTTGGCATTTCATCTTCTGGCCAATATGTGATAATTCACACGTCTCCCAGCTTGATAAGGGCATATGTACGTCAGAATTCTTCCAATGGGGATTCTACTTAAGGGAGACAGAAAAAAATTACACTGGAGATAAACATGATGGGATATTTGGTGCAGAGGAGAGGGAAACTTAAAACGGCGCAGGGCACAAATGAAGCATATCTTACCAGAGTGGTTTTTGAGATGCATCTTTTTTAGGTGAAGGTAGCTGGGGGTGGAATACGGAAAAGGGAGGAGGATTAAATGGAGACCAGAAGTGAGAGGGAGGTCATGGTCACCTTAAGGCCCCACTGAAGGGCCTCCAAGAAGGTGGTTCTAAGTATCTCTCCCCCCATCCCCAACTACTCCCACTGCACCTGCCCGGGGAACCCCGCCTAGAGCATGCTGGGAGTTGGCTAGGACCTAGGCCACCCAGAAAAGAGGGACGGGGCGGGCACCTCTGGGGGTCGCTCCGGGTGCAGGCTGACGCCCAGGCACTCACCCGCGTCTAGAAAGCGCAGCCTCGCAAGGCTTTTCTCTCACGTTCGCGTCCCCCTCGGTTACGCTCTTGGCTGGGCTGCTCTAGATGCAGGCGGTGTCCTCTCGTTGGTTTCGCTGAAAGTGGGGAGGGCCAGGAAGTGGACGCCGGGAAGGCGGGGCAGCGTGGCAGGACAAATGAACCCTTGGCCGGGCGGAGCGGCAGGCCGGCGGAGAAGTGGGAAGGGCGGCGCGCACGCAGCACGCCCCTTTTCCCCGCCCCCTGCCGAGGTCAGAGAAGCGCGTCCCGCTGGCGTGACCTGCACGCTGGTCTGTACCCAATGGGACCTCCAGAGAGACTTGCCTGCGTCTGACCTGCTGACGCCACCTACCTCTTCACTTTCCCTGCGTGGGAGCTGCGAGAGCTCGGGAGAACTAGCGAAAGCGTTGCTCTTGCCGTTCTAGTGTCAGATTTGTTAATGTTTTCTCTAACATTTGCCGTCGTCATTGCACCCACTAATTAACAGAAGGTGCTCAACCCGGTACTACTGGGCTGAGACGAAAATGCAAGGCACAGAAATAGTTATCAAATTACGAGGGCAAGGATTCGCTATGGTTTTTGGAATGGCATCTGAAGCCTCAGTCTGGAATCCAAGCCTGTCTTCACTGCGTCCTGTGGTATGCTGTGAAAGTTACTTTACCTTGCTATGCCTCACGCCCCTTCTTTGTAAAGTACGGGAAATATCACTGTAGTGCTATCTCATAGGAGATTAAATGAGATAGTGCATATGACTCCATCAGCAAAAGACCAAGCATAAAGTAAGCATTCATTAATGTTGGCTATTATTTTAACTCCTGCATCACTAGTAGTTAGCCTAGTGCTAGCAGTAGACAGTACATATTTGTGGAATTAATGAATGCTAGAGCTACAGAAGAGGAACCAGGGCCAGGATAAGGCACTTCCTAAATGTTACAGAGAAATTAAAGGCAGTGGTGGGACTAGAACCCAGGTCCTAATTAAAAGTGCAGAACTCTCCGCTAAACATGTTATGTGCCTTCTAAAATTAATTTTTGTGGCAGACAGTTTTTTTTCCTTCTAAAAAGCACAAAGTCTTACAAATATTTAAAATGTACTGTTAGTAGGTTCCATCCAAATAACATTGAATGGTGACTTAGGTCTGAGTTTCTAAATACAATATACTTGAGTATTGGCAATGATCCAGTGTAGATGGAAGGTTTCAAGAAGCACTGAAACAATGGACAAATAGATTTTAGGAATTTACTATCCTGGTAGCACTACCCTAAATTTTGGAGTTATAGTGGTGAACAAAATTAGCCCCCCCGCCCCCCTTTGGAGCTCTCAGCGTAGCAGGGGAAAAAAGATAAATTATTCATTACAAACAATTATAATGGTGTTATGTTCTTTAAAGGAATACAAAAACCAATTTTAGTACTGGAAAGTTTGCAGAGTATCTTCACTATATTTTGTTAAATAATATATATTGTCTATTTTCACATATATTTAAATATGTACATATGTACATACATAGGTAAGTGAAATGAGTTGCAGAATACTGCGTATAGTATGATTATACTTTGGTGAAAGCAAACAAAATTTTATATATGTACACATTTTTTATCTGTTTGTATGAGCAAGGAGAGTTGTGGAAAGCTCCTCAGCAGGCTGTTACTGTTTATTACATCAGGAAGTCCAGGTGTGGGTGATTACTTTTGTCTTTATACATCCTCGTATTGCGTTGTTCCACTGGTTATAATAAGCATTTGCTATTTTTGAATTTGTAGAATAGCTAATAAAGGGACCTTTAAAATTAGAGGGACAAAATGTTTAAGAGGAAAAGAAACCAGTAAAAGTACCCTTTAAAGAATGAAATCTTACCTTTTGTGACAGCATGGATGGACCTGGAAGGTATTATGCTAAGGGAAGTAAGTCAGACAGAAAATACAAATACCATATGGTTTCATTTATATGTGAAATCTAATGAACAAAATAAACAAAATAGGAACAGACTCATAGATACAGAGAACAGACTGACAGTTGTCAGAGGGAGAGGGTTGATGCCCTAGGTAAAAACGTGAAGGAATTAAGCAGTACAAATTGGTAGTTACAGAATAGCCACAGAGATGTAGATTACAACATAGGGACTGTAGTCAGTAATATCATAACTATGTATTGGGCCAAATGGGTACTTGAAGTAGTGGGGGAGCCACTCTGTAAAGTACATGATTTTCTAACCACTTTACATCTGAAATTAATACAGAATAATGTTGAATGTATACTAATTGGAAAATTTAAAAAATTAATTAAGAAAAGAAGCCAACAGACTAACTAGAAAAAAAGTAATTCAGGGGACAGAAAATTTGGGATAACCTAATGAGCAGTCTATGCACTGTATATAAGACAGAAAAATAACATGCAATTAATGTCTGTTAAAATTAAGAATATTTATACTTTTTGGCCCAGCAAACCCACTTCTTGTGATCTCTCCTCCAGAAATTAAAGCACCAAAATGTAAGGCTAAATGTATAAGGCAAATGCATTGTTATTTATAATAGCAAAAGTAGGGAATATCTATCAATAAGAGAATGGTTGAATTAATTATGGTGCATCCATGTAGTGGAATAGTAAGCATAAAATAAACATCTTATTTCAGTCACCTGCATTAAAAACTTCACTAAACACACTAACCTGCACTTTGTGGGGGAGGGTTACTTTTGAGTTTGGTTGCCTTTATATACCCAGTAGGTAAAGCAGAATTGCATTCAAAACTGACAACACTGCATTTTTGGTAAAGCCTTCCTGCCAAGTACATGCATTATTCAGCATGAGAAGTGATTAATATCTAGTAATTGGCGATTCACTTGCATACGAGCCCTCAAATTTTCAAAACCACTGGGAAGGCCTTTGGGAAATGAACATGGTTTTCTACAACAGTTCATTGGAATAATAAATATTGAAGAAAATCTAAGGTTGTTTTCTACATAACATCTTTTTGGAGGGTTAAAAATGTCTTCTGTATTTACCAACATTAAGTACCTGTGGTATATGTACCTATTCTGCCTAGAGTTTCACAACTGTTCATCTTCAATAAACAAATTCCCTTGACTGAGCAAATTCATTATTCTTTCCATTTGAGTATAGTTTAGTCCCTAAATGAATCTCATTTGTGTGTTCAGACATAGTTATGTTTACAATCTTGTTCCAAAAATGTTTTTCCAGCCATGGCTGGTTTGGCTCAATGATAGAGCATCGGCCTGCGGACTGAAGGGTCCCAGGTTCGATTCTGGTCAAGGGCATGTACCTTGGTTGCGGGCACATCCCCAGTAGGGGGTTTGCAGAAGGCAGCTGATTGATGTTTCTCTCTCATTGATGTTTCTCTCTCATCGATGTTTCTAACTCCCTATCCCTCTCCCTTCCTCTCTGTGGAAAATCAATAAAATATATTTTAAAAAATGTTTTCCCATTTGATGGCTGTCTGAGAGCTTTCCTTTTTTAAAAAAACCCGTTTACCTGCCAACAAATATGTATTATGTGTTTGCAGTAGGTCAGGCACCGTGCTAGGTATTGTTTCCTTTAAAAACTTTATTATGGGAAATTTCAAACATATACAGAAATAGAAAAGTACAATGAAACCACATGTTCTTTTTGGGAAGCTTTAACATAAATTCAAAGCCAATCTTGTTCATTGTTCATCTCTATCACTTCCACTTCCCTCCCAGGTTATTGTGAAGCATCTTTAGGACATAGAATTTTATCCACAAACATTTCAAAATGTATCTATAAGAAATAAAGGCTTCTTACCCCCCCCCCCCACACACACACTACCACTACACAACTAAAAATGAATAGTTCTTTAATATAACCAAGCATCCAGTCAGTTCAAATTACCAATAATATCACAAATATCATTCTTATTTTTAATCAAAATCCAAATAGTCTACACATTGTGATTGGTTTTTGTGTCTCAAAAGTCTCTTTTTTGTCTATAGGTTCTCTCGCTCTCTCCACTCTCTCTACCCTGCCTTGATATTTTTTTTTGTTGAAGAGACCTGTTTTTTGTCTTGTACAGTTAACCACAGTCTGCGCAGGTAGCCTCATCCTGTTTCTTTAATATGTTTATCTGTCCTTTGTGTTCCTTACTAGTATAAGCAAGTAGTTGGATCAAAAGTAGGGTTGCCAGATTTAGCAAATAAAAATACAGGTTGCCCAGTTAAAATTGAATTTCAGATAATCAACAAATACTCATTTAGTCTAAGCATGTCCCAAATATAATGCATAGGACACACTAAATATTGCATGGGACATGCTTACACTAAAAAAAATTATTGTTTATCTGAAATTCAATTTTAACTGGGCATCGTGAATTTTATCTGGCAATTGTAAACCCTAATTGTATCTGTCTCTCTTTTTTTAATCCTCACCAGAGGGTACTTTCCCATTGATTTTTAGAGAGTGGAAGAGAGGGGAAAGACAGGGAGAAATATCAGTGTGAGAGAAACACATTGATTGGTTGCCTCCTGCATGTGCCCTGACCAGAGCCTGGTCCGGGGTGGAACCTGAAACCTAGGTATGTGCTCTTGACCCCTTGACCGGAATCGAACCCAGGACCCTTCTATCCGCAGGCCGACGCTCTATCCACTGAGCCAAACTGGCTAGGGCGTGTCTATCTCTCTTTGTGATGATAGCTGCCATTGATGCTTAATGCCTAGATTCATCATTTATTAGGGTTGCAATATGGTGATCTATTTTTCCAAGGCATATTTTATTTTATTTTATTTTTTTACATTGGAAATGATTAATTTTATTGCCAGTTA